GGTTTGAGATTTTCTCGTAAAGACCAAACGTTCGAGGTTAATAAGTAGTTTATTATATGGCCTATGAAAACAAAACCAAACCAAAAAAGTAATCCGGTGATGCGCGCACTTAAGCCCCGGCCAAATGATCGCAACATTTCAATACAGCACGTCGCAACATTGTTGGGCACAACATGTTCCGCGCGTTTGGCTACCCTGTTGCGACGTGTCGTGACATGTTGGGTCTTGTTGGATCAAATTTGAAAATGGTCAAATTTTCAGGCAACAATGTTGATCCAGGGCATGGGCATTAGTTCGATTTGCAGCACCCAACATGTCGTAACACGTTGCAACAAAGTGGCTAAATACACGCAACATGTTGCACCCAACGATGTCGCCATATGTTGTGATCGTTTAGCCGGGTCTTGCAAATACTGGGCCAACAATGCTGTGTTGAAATGTTGCGATCGTTGGCCGGGGCTCTACAGCTTGTTCTTTCAACTTTTCCATTAACCGTACAAATCAGGTGAACTAACGCGTAAGTCAAAAACTGCTACGTTCTGTTTATTTATGGACGACAAATAACGTTGGAATGTTTCCATGTCACCGACTGTTTTCTTTGACGTTTTTTTTTTTATTTCTGACATTTTTTCTCGATGACGAAAGTTTCAATTTCTACTTAGCTGTTTCCTTCGTCCTGTCCGGCACCATCTCGTCCGTGATTTAGCGCTGTGAATTCGCGGGTCGCTGTTGTCCTAAAATTGTAGCTCGTCAGGGCAATAGAATGCACTCTTAGAGTGTCCAATCATCTTTTTAAGCTGCCATAATTTTCAGAAAAAAGCATTAGTTTGATCATTTGTTTTCGCTTTGTTTTTGCAGGCCTTTAATCGGCTCGTGGTGATTACGGCGGAATATTACCCAAGAATTAGCTAATCAGAGCGCACGTTATATCAGCTAAAAACACAAGCCATATAATATAGAAATAATAATCAATTCTCCTGTTGTGTACTTCATTTTTTATAGGGGGAGGGAGTTGGTTCCCTCAAACTTTCGCGATATGCAACATTTAATGCCTGTTGTTTTCGGATGGATTTAAGTGTCATTTTGGGTACCAAAAAAGCGTCAGCAAAGTTTGTGTCATGTGTCCGTGACGTTTATTCTGAGACCCTGCTCAACACAGACACTTTGGCGGGTCCCTCTGGTGGCCGTATATTAACTTGTTTCCGCTATACATAATTTTATTGTTTGCACATCACTTTATTGTAATGTATCTGCATGGTTAGACAATTTCCTTAGAAA